AGTTAAGACACCGTGGTATTTATAATAAACAGAAAGGATAACTTCACTTGAGGGCTCAAGCATTTATGCTCAAATTTAAAAGTGCCCATCATAGGATATCGAGATCAAACGTTCAAGATTTATGATACCCCACAAAACACTTTCGGCCTAAAGTCCGAAACTTAAGACATCGAGTATCGCAATGAAACCCAGTTTCTGAAACCCGGTTTCATGAACGGGGTCCGGCAGTTTTGTAGATACCAATATGTTTGCTAAAAATTTATTTAATGTTGTTTCTTTTTGTTTTACGATGTCTTAGATTAATATCTACACAAATGTAGAGGCCCCAAAATGGAACTTGGGAGTTTTGTTCAACTCACTTAGATTTCCAGCTCAGATTGTTACCAACCCCTTTTATTCTTCTTACTGTACTTAAGACGAGTATCGTTATAAAAACCATTTTTGGAACCCGGGTTTCAAGAATGGGTTTAGGCAGTTTTGTGGATATCAATATTTTTGTTATGAAATATTATGTTACGTCATTTAGTTTCTTCATATTCTCCATTTTTTTCGAATCTCATAAAAAAAATCTACACAAATGTTAAGACCCCAAAAAGGAAACTCGAAGGTTTTCTTCAACGTGGATTTAACGGTTCTGTCAATATTTTAGAAAACTGTGACTTTCGATAACAATTTGACCCCTTTTACATAATTTTATAGCCTTTTATCTTAAATATTTTTTTGTTGGAATATACATTTGAATAAAAAATATTACAGGAACAAATCTGTAGGTCTAAAGACTGATGAGTTACAGACGAAAACACGTTTGATTTCAAATAAAATGCTTCTCTCTCTCGTTAGTTCAGGGTGCTTTACAGTTGTGTAGATTTTGATTTGAGAGCTTCGAAAAGAATGGAGAGTATGAAGAAACTGAATAAAATTATATTTTATAACAAAAATATTGATATCTACAAAACTCCATTCTTGAAACCCGGACTCCAAAACTGCTTTTTATAACGATACCTTGTCGTAGGTTTTGGGTTCAGTTATTAATTTTCCAGGTTTGACATATGTGTCCAACTTTGAAGTAATACATGACAAATTAAAGCCTGGAGCTTACAAGTTGATAATAACTACACAAGCATGGAAAATACAGGGTTACCCACAAAGGATAAGACTGTACAGGAAAATCTTGAAATACGAAGATCCTGCAGGGTTAATTTAGATATGTTAATTTAATGGTTTATTTAATGATTTGGCAAAGAAGACTGTAGTTTACGATTAAAGGGAATCGATAATATAAGGAAACAGATACAGTGATAACCAGAAAACTGTAGAATAGGAAGACGACATTAAAGCAATAATAAAAAGTATTTAATGCGGTTACAAAGCAAATAACTTTTGGAGTAAATTATAAAATCAGTTTTTAAGCCATTCGAGCCTTTTTACGCCTTACACTAGTGTTGTCTCATGTTCATTGCACTATTTAGAGTCATTAATTGAGTCTGAAAGTCGTCTCCTTAGTTTTCTGGTTATCGCTGTGGTAAAAATTCAATACAGTCGTCTTTGAAGACTCATCTTTTGAGGGTAATCCTGTGGCTTGGGACTGAAGACCCTTAACCCTATCCACAAGGGGGTTTGATTTTTTTCTCATCTGACCTAAAACATATCTATTTGTGTATGATACCAGAATAAAGCAGAGTAAAGGTCGTCTTTTCCACTCTTTTAATAGATAACGTACAGGGTTACCCACAAAGGATGAGACTATAAAGACGACCTGAAACTCTTACAATTTGACGATCCCAGGGTTAGATTAAGTCTTCTGTCCTAGATATAGTAATCTAATGGATTATCTAATGATTGGGCAAAGATACAAACAAGTTTATAGTTGCAGGGCATCAAAAATAAAAGTTTAAATTTTGTACAATCGTCTCTGAAGTCTCATCCTTGTGGGTAACCCTGTAGTTTAAGGTTATGTGAGTTATATCGGTTATGAAAGATTCAAATCCTTGCTCCACATTAGTTTAATAAGACATTTTGACATAGTTTGGTCCTTTTCAGTCTATAAAAATGAAAAAGTAGATAACCCCCCAAAAAAGTAAAAGTTTTGAATAAAAAAATATTTTGTTTAGTGTCCCACACTACAGCTGACCTAATATTTGAGTGGTTTCCTGAAGACAAGGTAGCATTAATCTTTGTTGGATTAATTTCCAATTGTTTGAATGATTTATTTTCATTAATTTGATTGAGATAATGCACTTTAGACTGATTAATCCTTTTTTGATTGTTTGATTTATTGATACAGAGTTGGGAACTTTTGAATGGAAAATATCGGGATTAAGGCTTGATCCACTCTTTTTCTTAATCTCGAGATTAAATAATGCTTGTTATCCTCTTGTTATTAATCTCAAGATTAATTAACCGATCGGGATTAAGGATATCCCATTCTAAAGCTTTCAGCTCTGGTTAGATCGTTTAAAATATCAATCAATCAAGGTACTCAGTAGTACCTTGATTGATTGATATTTTACCTTGAATAATTTGAACTTGTAGAATTGATGTTAACTTTTCTTAAAAATTGATTTGTGTTTGCTTTCTTGACTTTTTCATACTATTCATACTTGCTTGATTGATCTAAACTAGATGCTTGTTTATTTATTCGGTAAATTGATTAAAGTTTTCCTAATTGATTGGTTGATAATTCATTGATTTACATATTGATTTTTTGATTTATTGATTTAAATGATTTATATTATGATCAAAAAATGTCAAATATATCGATTTTTTAAAAAGTGGATGTCAATTGCAGTTGGATTCATAGATTGTTTGGATGAATTGATTTATTGATTGGATTGAATTATTTATTGATTGATTGATTGAATGGATCGAATTGATTTATTAAGTGATTGCTGGATTTATTTAATAAAAGTTTTTATATATATTGATTGATTAAATGATTGACAGATTGATTGAATTTTTAAAAATCAATTGATTGACTATTTAAAAACTAATTGATTAATTGATTGATTGATATATCCCAGGTTCCCCTTGTAGTAGAGGATCTTGAACTCCCTCAACTAGAACTAATGGAAAACACAACGGAGGTGAATACTGAATACTATTAGATAATACTGGGATTTACGTCAATATTTTGTGCGCAATCTCAATATGCGTCTTCAAGTCGCTTATTTAATGTGGGTCCCCACGTGGTTCTTTAATTAGCTAAATTCATATATTTCATTGAAATCTACCACTCTTAAAATAGCTTTGGAGAAGAATAAAGATGTTATAAATTTCTAAATAAATAAATAAATTGGCTTTTCACATACTTTAGAGAAGCTATGAGGTCACAAAGTCGTACCAGTAATTTTACCTGACTAAACTTTAAAAATTTTAAACCGAGCGTAGAACATTCCAGTGGATCTACCTGCTAAGTTCACATATCAAAATTTGAGGCAAATCGGTCAAGGATGAGTTATGATCGAATATACAAACAATGAGACAAGCAGAGATTACACCAATATATAAATAGAGTAAATATATGTATATTTAATATTGCTAGGGTTGGTAAATGGTAAAAACATTAATTGTCAGTTTACTCTAACTTGTTTACTTTAATATTCCATTTTGAGTTAACCCTATCACGGTTCTCCCTCTCCTGGTGGTTTGTCATGCAAAGTTAAAAAGTTAAAAAAATTTTGCCAAAAAAAATATTTTTGATGCAAAGGGTAAGGTGGAAAATGGTCAAACGGCGGGTCGGTGTTTAAAAAAATCAGAAATGGTTAATAACTTTTTTATCAATTAAGCTACAATGGATATAATTTATATATTTGAAAAGGTCATGAAAAAAAAAATACAATAACGAGTGTCATTTGTTAATATTTGTCAAAAGTAAAAAAAGTTTTTGAAAATTTGTTCGACTTTTTGAATTTTTTAAAATCCTCACTCACCCCTAACATCAATTAAAGTTAAAGATCTTAATTTTTTTAATGAGCAGGCCTTCAAAAGACTAGGGACATGTATCACACTCCCCTCTCAACTCTAAGGGCAAAATCATAGAAGGGGGGATGTCCCCCCCATCTATATTAGACAAAAATAGCCCAATCGGGATAGGGTTAAATTTATTCAAAATTAGTCTAGAACTTTATTTAGAACTTTGTTTAGATCACAGGATTTCTGTATTTCAACATTTTAATTTTTAATCAAAATAGACTTTATATTGACATCAGAAAAAATGTTGCCATGGCTCCGCAACTGGACTGCAGATTCTTAAAGTAGAGCACAAGAGCTTTCTAATGATGTATCATTTGTCATATTTGGACATAAAACATGTGATTTAGAGGGGGGGGTCAAATTGACCCCCCCCCCCCAGCGTATCCTGGTTTTCAAGTACCCCAGCAGAGATAGGGTTAAAACTCGCCATATACAGCAAGAAAAATCTGTGAAATGTTTTATTTTATTGTTTAATTAAATAATGTACAAAGAAAAATAACTTAGTTCCCTTACAGATCTTAATTTTTCACCAACACTCATACTTATTCTCTAGTTTTTATCTAAAAACTTCTCCCCCCCCCCTTCCCCCACAAGTCCCGGGTTTTATGCATAACAAAAAATAACTAATTTTAACAAATGACCGGTTTTAACAAAAAAATAAGATTTTTTTAAAAAGTTTGATTAGGGTGTAGTTAAGTAATTTCTGAGTAAGAGAAATTGTGTTTAATTATTAAAACTATATATTCTACAGAGGCGTATTCGGGAATTATATTTTAAAATGATATACAGTGAGAACCAGAAAACAGTGAAATAGGAAATGGCAAACAGTGTGTCTATTCTATAGTAACTTATTAGTTCACTTATTTAGTTACTGGAATTCTTTGTATCACAAAACACGGCAGTAGCCTGAGATTGGTATGCATTTTAATTTTAGTGTTACATTTGAGCCCAAGAACTATAGGTTTATTATAAACAAAAGAAATTCTGAACTGATCAAGGAAAGTTCACGTAAAACCAAGATACTATAATACAAGGAAAGTTATTTTAGAGGTGGACACATTTTTTGTACTGCAGTGCGGAAAAGTAAACACAAGACGGATGTCACAGTCTGACCTGGAATCCATTTTCACAAAATAATCTATGAAATATTCTGGTCGTAGGAAACTACTATATGAATTATCAAAATTAAATGCTTTTAACCTCCTCTATTCTTGTTTACAAATTCCGCGGCGGAGAGAACTGGTTTCGATATGTACAGAAAGTATACGCGACCGCAATTAACTTTCCTTGCATTAGTACCTTGACTAAAAACAAAGATTTATGTAATGCGTCAAATCTATATACTGCAATGGGAGGAAATAAAAACAAACAATTCGGGGGCAAAACATCATTCATGTACATGGGGTGGTGGTGAAAGGGTTGTGGAAGGATTATAAAAAAAGCCTGTAATTTTAAAATTTCTAGAAATAAGGTCGTAGTATTAAAAAACGACTTTGTGACCTCAAAACTATTTTAGTTTTTATTTTACATTGACAACTTCGGTTGTAAGAATTTCAAAATCCTTTAAATCTCTTTATTAATAGCTTTTCAAAAAAGTAGTTATTTTTGAAATTTACTTTAACTCGGAGTTAGGTTGCTAGTAACCACTAGTTATCAATTTCCCAAACTTATGTTCTCATGCCTTTTTTCTTCTTCAGAACTATTTTTTTCCGCATTTTCACCAACTCTAAATTTTCATTTTTTCATTATATTGAAATGATTTGACTCGACATAGCGCTTTATGGTCCCTGCAGTATTGAATGTATCAACATAAACATATATTGTATATTATATATATTTAAATATATTCATATATATTGCATATATATCTATATAATATATATTGTACATACTATACAGCTCTATTCTATTATTGAATGTAGAGTATCAACATAAACATATATTGTATATTATATATATTTAAATATATTCATATATATTGCATATATATATCTATATTATATATATTGTACATATACTATACAGCTCTATTCTATTATTGTTGATTGTGTAATTAAGACTTTGTTGGCAGCTTACAACACATCAAATAGATGGATTGATAGATAGATAGATAGATAGATAGATAGATAGATAGATAGATAGATAGATAGATAGATAGATAAATAGATAGATAGATAGATAGATAGATAGATAGTCTCCCCCCCGTTTCTTTCTGACATACTTAATCATCAATAAACGGATCTTTCGTCTAGTGTCTGAATAATGCTCAAACAATTTATTATATTTTTTTGGTATTTTCAACTTTCGACTAAATTCTTAACTTGGATCCAAAGGTTCAAGCTCTTATGCTAAAATTAATAAGAATTTTTTAAATTACTTCTTTAAAATTAAAAACAAGTATTTCTAGGGCTACAAAATAGTATACCTCAAATAGTGACTATGTGACAGGATCTATGTGACTGGATCTATGTGACTGGATTTATGTGACTGGATCTATGTGACTGGATCTATGTGACTGGATTTATGTGACTGGATCTATGTGACTGGATCTATGTGACTGGATCTATGTGACTGGATCAATGTGACTGGATCTATGTGACTGGATCTATGTGACTGAATCTATCTACGTGACTGCGAATGTCTATATATGAAATGGGAAACATTATTGTCAAATTTGTCATACTTTTCCGTGTTGTGTTTTTAAAAAAAGGTTTTTTTTACATGGAATTAGCAAGATGAACATTTTCAGAAATATTTAGTTAACATTTCAAAACCTCACTTTCCCATAAGAACTTTTTAAGAAATTTTAAACCCAGGAACTTTGCTAATTTGATTAATTACCGTGAAACCCTTAATAACGAATACATCGAAAGAATTCATCAAATGTCGCATTCTTCACTTTCTGATAATGGAATGTTGCAGATATTTAGTTTTTTAATTAAATGATTATATGGAACTCTTTAAAACTGTTCCCGCATATTCATAGCTATTTATTTATTTTCGCAAATACTGATACTTACGTTATATAGTATAAAACTCGTTGAAAAATTGTCAAGACGACATTTGATAAATTCTTCCGATGTATTCGTGTGTAGATAATTTTTTTGATTATATTCAATTGTGGCTTCTTTATTAAAGTGATTTACGGATTTCTGCTTGCAGGAATAAAAAATAAACTTTTTAGGATCAAACATTCTTCAAGATAGAAAAATTAATATTTTTCTATTTATTATTATTAAAGGGAACCGTTCTGAATCGGACATGGACCTCTTTAAATTACAACTTCCATTTCGCTTAAAAATTAAGAACAACGTTTTCTAGAGTATAGAAAACTGTTAAATGGAGCTTTCTCTTTCGTTAAAAAGTTTCTATTCGTTTCTAAGCTAATTTAATAACATGTTTTTTTGGACGAAAGGCAGTTTTGGAAGTTAATAATAATGATAAAAAAAATACTTTTCTTATCAAATCTTGATTATACCAAGTATGAAACTAATTGGCACTTTGTTGATAAAAATCCACATTCAAAAGTTTTCTTTGATACAATTTAAATAATTATTTGAGAATGTTTTTTTCATAACTTTCAAACTCATTCAGATTTTTTCTTTTGTGAAAATGAATCACAAAAGTACGCCAGAAAAAATATTCCGACAAAAATATGAATATTACAAAACTACCAAGCAGAAAGATGGGGTGAACAAAATATGCAAAATCAACGTTCATAGCGTTCAGGTGCAAATAAGATAATGTGATGTTTTTGTTTCTTCAGAGCTGAAAACTTTTGAATGGGATATCTTTAATCACAATTAGTTAATTAATATGGAGATTAACAACAAGAGAAGAACAAGCACTATTTAATCTCGAGATTAAGAATATAGAGTGTATCAATAATTAATTCCGATATCTACCATTCAAAAGTTCCCAGCTCATATCCTTCTATTTTCCTTTGAAGTTTTTCTGCGAAAATGACTTGCTCATTTATTGCTTATAAGAAGCAATGGAGAAACGCACAGAAAAATAGACTCTTCAAGTCAGAAAAACGACGACATCTTCCATTTTTTTTTATCAAATTAAGGTTTAAAGAGTTCTGTTGCAAATCGGGCATTGTTGATCATACTCGCATGGAGTTTCACTTGAAAATTCGCCAATAGTCCCTTTAAAGGGACTTGGATGTTATTTAGAGAGTCAACATTTTATTTACATCATCAGATTTAAAGAATTCTTTTCGGGGAAACTAACATTTTTAGCAAACTTTGAGATCTTTGTGTGGTGTGGAAAGTGAGGATAACAAGAGGCAATTAAATTACATTGAGAACATTATTTCTAATGGACATATATATATATATGTAAATATATTAATGGTAATTATTTGTATGTTTACTACAACATGGATATGTAAGAGTGAGACTATTGAACTATGTAAATATACTCATTGATATTTTCTATCCAATATTAAATTACATGGCATGAATATGGTATCTAACACAATTATATTATGTATACTGTACAGCTCCTATAGATCATATCTTTCATGTTAATTTATATCAATAACCAATATATTGATACATTTTTTTTATAAAACTTAATATTTTCTCCTTTCAGCTTATGAAAGTTTCTATTGGACTGGAACAAAAAACAATCACCTGATTTAAAAAAATTATCTTTATAATTGTAAAAACAAAACTAGGACTGAAGTTTGTTTATACTCCTCCTAGATAGTATAGCACAATTTATTTGTAAAAAAACTACATATTTTGATTTCTATTTAGGATTGCACAGCTGCATATTCAACAGGGAACTTTACTTGCTTAATGGTTGTCTTTAAGTTCAGGTCAAAATATTTCATTTAAATTTTTTTTTAAATGAGTTGAAAACAAGAAAAATGCTAATAATAATAGTAATGATAATGATACTAGGGCTGGGCACCTTCCAACTTTTTCAAGTCGTTTCGTTAACGGTTAGTTCCATCCGTTTTTAAATCAGATCTCAGGTTGCCGTTAGAGAGGGTAATAACGAAACTTCATTTCTTTAACGGTACTTTCCGTTTTTTAAAGTTACTGTTAGTTAACGATATCAATCTTATTAACAGCGTCAACAGACAATTTTCAACAAGCGTAAGTGTTAACAGCTCCAGCTGTTAACGGTACTGTTATTACAGAATTAATGGCATCAACATTGCGAAGAACTGAAAAAAAAAATTCGTTAACGGTTGATGAAGTCGTTAACGGCAGAGCGGTTAACAGTTAACGGTTAAGGGTTAATAATAATAACAATACAATAGTTATAATAAACTCAATATTGATGATAATGATAACAATAATAATAAAAATAACAATTATAAAAACATTTGTTTTTAGACGACGTCTTGGATATTTTATGTTCCACACATATATACCAACTTGTCTTATTGTGATGATGTCATGGATTTCATTCTGGATAAAGGTAAATAATAAGAAATATTAAAATATTCTTGATAAAGGTAAATAATAAGAAATATTAAAATATTCTGGATGTAAATAATAAGAAATATTGAAATATTCTGGATAAAGGTAAATAATAAGAAATATAAAAATATTCTGGATAAAGGTAAATGATAAGAAATATCTGGATAAAGGTAAATAATAAGAAATATAAAAATATTCTGGATAAAGGTAAATAATAAGAAATATAAAAATATTCTGGATAAAGGTAAATAATAAGAAATATTAAAATATTCTGGATAAAGGTAAATAATAAGAAATATAAAAATATTCTGGATAAAGGTAAATAATAAGAAATATAAAAATATTCTGGATAAAGGTAAACAATAAGAAATATTAAAATATTCTGGATAAAGGTAAACAATAAGAAATATTAAAATATTCTGGATAAAGGTAAAAAGAAGAAATATTAAAATATTCTGGATAAAGGTAAATAATAAGAAATATAAAAATATTCTGGATAAAGGTAAAAATAAGAAATATTAAAATATTCTGGATAAAGGTAAGAATAAGAAATATTAAAATATTCTGGATAAAGGTAAATAATAAGAAAATATCGAAATATTCTGGATAAAGGTAAAAAGAAGAAATATTAAAATATTCTGGATAAAGGTAAATAATAAGAAATATTAAAATATTCTGGATAAAGGTAGAAATAAGAAATATTAAAATATTCTGGATAAAGGTAAAAATAAAAAGTATTAAAATATTCTGGATAAAGGTAAATAATAAGAAATATTGAAATAATGAAAATCTATAGAATTTGAAACAAAAATATCAAAAGTACAGCTGCCAAAAAAACCAGACCGGAAAAAATATATTAGAAAAAATCAATTGAAGAGTTGAATTCCCGATTCCCACTGGTACCTATTTCAATAATTAGGAAGATACCGTCGTTTTTCTGTACCTCTTGAGTTCTGACAGTTTCATCATAAATCCTCAAGTCACTTTATAATAATTCACAGTTAAAAATTATCTATTTTTAGTTACAAAAACATGGATAGCATATCATTTTTACTGGACGAAAATTTACAGGGTACCATTGTGAATTGAAAAAGCTACTCTTTTTAGAGAGTCGCTTACTATTACGTCTATACAGGTCCTTTAAATATTTTGATATTTTAGCCAGAAGCTGTTCCTGCCAGAGTTACGCTAGGTGAGAGTTCTTTTATATAATCTGAGAGAGTTCTAAACTATCAAGAGCTATTTTTATATAATCTGAGAAAGTTCTAGAATTTTGAGAGTTATTTTTTTATAATCTGGGGAATTTTGAAAACTCTTGAGAGTTATTTTCATATAATCTAAGAGTGTTCTAGAACTCTCAAGAGTCTTTTTCTAAATTATATATGAGAGGTTTAAAACTTTCAAGAGTTACTTTAAATAATCTAAGATTTCTAGAATTTTCGAGAGTCATTTTTATATAATCAGAAAGAGTCCTAGAACTCTTAAGAGTAATTTTATAAAACCCGAGGGAGTTCTAGAACTCTCAAGGGTTATTTTATATAATCTGAGTGAGATATATAACTCTCAAGAGTTATTTTGTTTAATGTGAGAGAGTCCCAAAACTCTCCAGAATTATTTTTTTATAATCTGAAAGGGTTCTAGAACTCTCAGGATTTATTTTCATAAAATCTGAGAGAGTTATAAAACTCTCAAGAGTTATTTTTATAAAATCTAAGAGAGTTTTAAAAGACTCATTTGAGTTATTTATATGTAATGTGATAGAGTTCTCTAGAACTTTCAAGAGTTATTTTTATAAAATCTGAGAGAGTCCTAGAACTCTGCAGACTTTTTTTATATAATCTAAGAGAGTTCTCTCAAGAGATATTCTTAATATATCTATAAATATAGGTTGCAGTAATAGTAACGTCATACTTTTTTAAATATGAATGTTAATGTAAGGGCATACAGATGGTGTATATAGATGTAAGGACACAGATAATGTATGTTAATATAAGGAAACAGATGATGTAAGGATACAGATGATGTAAGGTTTATAACATTTTGGGTCATCTGAGGTTCCACAAAAAATACGTGTCATATCGGTCCAGTATTGCATTGTATCTTAACAAAACAACAAACAAACCATGCATACTAATTATATATGATAGATTTACATTATTGCAATAAAATATTTTATCCAACCTAAAAAATGAAATGAAACGAAATTGCTATTTTTGCCTTAATAAGACTTGCTTTGTAAAGTTATGTGATCTTTCAGTATTTTTTTTAAAGAAATAACAATTCAAAAAAATCGATATTTCACAAAAACTTGAAATTGCGTCTACGATTTTTATATCCTTTTTTGCCTATACTTGCATAAAAGTATGTAATATTTATATATTATGTATACTGTAAATCAAGGTTGTATATATATATATTATTTATATATCTACTGGATGATAATCTTCATGAATACACCATAAGGTCTGAACATCATTAACATTCAATTTTTCTTTTCTTAGACCAGTCTCAAGCTAATACAAAAATATGTAAACTTAAAGGGAGTGACTGGCTATGTAGGGTAGTTGAACTGAGTATACAGTATTGTCGAAAGCTTCTTGAGGCTTCATTTGAGACATATAAAACATTTGAAAGATCTGTAAATCCTGATTTTGAGCGCAAATTCGACGTTCAAAACTCCTGAATTGCGGACGGCCATCTCACAGAATGAGTTTTTTTTTAATTATTAATTAACGACGACATAAAATGTAAAAAAGTTATATAATAAATATGTAATAGTCAATGTGCGGAACATTTTGAGAAAATAAAAATTAATTGTCATAATAAAATTAAAGGAAATATATTTTATTTTCAATTTATTTTCGTCATGTGAACGGTCCCTGTTTTTCCCCCTGATTTCGCGGTTTTCAAACCGGATTTTTGGAAAAGGTTTAATGGTGTTCGGCATTATTTTCAACTGCGCACTATAGCGGTGTAGTTTAAAATAATACATCAACAAAGTTTAATAGTTTTGAGATTGTATTTATAGTGTTTCGGGAATAAAGCATTCCACCCTTGCATAAACGTCCGTGATTATTTCATTGTGTTAATTTTTATGCATGTTAAAAGAAAACATGTATGATAGTCAGGGTTGTATAATGGATATAGAATGGATTTTTTACGACTCAATTTGGTAATTTCCTAGACAACGAATTTTGGACCAACCCCTCTCCCCCCCCCTTTTGTAAAAATTGGTCCTATGGCCGCAGCGCGCCCGGCGCTTGGCTCACCAGTCTGTCAAAGCCGTAATAGCGCTCAGCCCAGAAATCGTCTTAGACCTTAAAACTTAAAAATAATGAAAAATAAATACTTATAATCAATTGCATATAAAAAAGAGGTCATGTACAAAATTGGTAAGAGGGGGGGGGGCGGTTTCATAAATCGCTCTTTTAGGTCAGACCGTCAAGGAACTATGACAGCAGTATAGGTCTGATGTACATTTTATTTTGTTAATCCGACCTACGTGCGGCGGAACTTTATTGCTATTGCTACTAAGGATCAGTGTTCCAGTTACACAAAAATTTGTTGGTCGAATGCACACTTACTGTAGGTCGTATGCATAACATTTTGTAGGTCGGATGCACACATTTTTAATGCCGGACTATCAATTTTGTACATATGGATATAATTGATCATGTGGCCGCAGCGCCCGGCCCCCTACATGTCCTAGCCGCGATGCTAAGCCCCCTAGCCGCAGCGAACGGCCCCCTAACCTAGCCTAACCCTAAATAATAAAAAATAAATGACAATAAATTTGCTGAAATTCATAAGTGGTCATGTACAAAATAGATAGGAGGGGGGGGGACGAGTTTGACCATGTCAGACTTTAAAAAAGCAGAATGCCGGCTCGAACATCGAAAGGCTATATAAATCTGTAATTAATGCAATTGTTAAAAATGAGCAAAGTATCAAAACAAACACTTACTGACCTTGTAAGCTTGTAATTTAAGAATTTTTGGAATTTAGATTTTTCAATAATTACGTAGGGTCCGTCATAGAGAACAATTTTTGGTCCAAAAATCGTATACTAGGACAGACCCAATAAAATAAATCAGTCGCGCACCCCCACACAATCATTGTCGTGTCTTTCCGGAACTTTTATGTTTTGTAGTCAAAACGATTAGAGCAACTTTTATTATTTCGGCGAAATTGAGTTTCTATTGTGTGAATTGTGTAGAAACAATTGTAATGTTTGCGTCATCTAAATCAGCTGATCGATTCTACATAAAAACGTTTCAGATTCCTCGGACCTATAAATATAAAATAAATTTATAATGCAGAAATAATTTCGGTAATTGGTAATTATATAAAATATTATACTTTAAATTAAAAGGAATTTCTTTCATTGGAAAAATTAATTTTAAACATGATTAATTGATTGAGAAAATTGTCGTCTTCATATATATGTAAACCGCGAAATCAGGGGTCGAAAAATAGGGACCGTTCACATGACGAAAATAAATTTAAAATAAAATATATTTCCTTTATTTTTATTATGACAATTAATTTTTTTTTTCTCAAAATGTTCCGCACCTTGACTTTTACATATTTATTATATAACTTTTTTACATTTTATGTCGTCGTTAATTAATAATTAAAAAAAAACTCATTCTGTGAGATGGCTGTCCGCAATTCAGGAGTTTTGAATGTCGAATTTGCGCTCAAACTCAGGATTTACAGATCTTTCAAATGTTTTATATGTCTCAAATGAAGCCTCAAGAAGCTTTCGACAATACTGTATACTCAGTTCAACTACCTTACATAGCCAGTCACTCCCTTTAAAAGAAAAATTAGAAAATAGTAGAAAATAAAACAAAATTTTTAGATCATAATTGTACATGACATTCTCCCCCGTCATAAAGGGCTAACCTCCCCCCCCCTCATCATGCTCACATCCGGGTTTAAACATCAACTATTATTTATTTATGAGTTTTGTATTTTTAGAAAAAAATCTTTAAACATTTTGAAATAATGAGGAGAAAGTTTGGAATTATAAATTTTGTGAGATATTTCTAACATTCTGTTAAAAACTTCTAACAAAATGATTGATTTCAGTGCTTTCTGTAGTTCGATATAATAAACAACATGTTAACTATCTCTAACAATGGCAATGTAATAGAATCTCCCTAATTCAGTGTGTGTACTGTCCGGTTTGCTTCGTAAACTGTACAACTTGGTATAGCCGCATTAAAAGTCAGCCCAGTACTTAAAATCAACGTGAGTTTAAAGTGGATTGTGATCAGGTTTACTTTTGTAAACTTTCTTACATGAAAATATAAAATCTGATCATTAATGTTCCATAAGTATTTTATCTCTCGCTGTGAGTTTCCTTTTGGAATATATTTATAAGTATGGCTGGGCACCGTTAAGGAACAGCGATCGTTTTTAATTGATGAACGGAATAACCACATCGTTTGGAAAATTAACGAATATACTTCAAATCATATTGTTTAAAAATCCAAACCAATCATAAATTGACGAATCTTAAACGAACATTTGTTGACTTGAAAATTCACTTTCTCGTAAACGTTTATCATATGTGAAATACCAAGAATTCAACCGGAGATTACAATGTTCAAATTTTTTTTCTTCAAAAAATGCTAAAATATTTTTTTAGTTTTTTCAAAATTTAAAAATCTTTCTTGTAACGACGACAGAATTAAAAAATGAAAAATTACAATCAAAACCATTAATTATTTTACAATAATAAAGTACAATTTTTAATATACAAAATATAAAGTACAATTTTTAATGATTGATATTCCAAAAGATAGTCTACATCGTTAGCGATTAATAATCGTTAACATTCAGCCATCGTTCAACATTGCTGAACTGTAAAAATAATAGAAAATCATTAATAAAAGAGCGGAACAAAAATAAACATATGGACAGCCCTATTTATATTCGCGCCATTAATTCTGAAAAAAAAACAATTATATCTCTGTATATACAGTGCACAAAAGAAGAGAAATAAATTGCTTTTTTTATAATTTTGAATGAAAAATGGAAAATGCAGTAAATGAACTGTTTATGTTAGAATTTAAAAAGCTTATTAACATTTTTGAATACAAACTAAAACAAAACTTCACATTATTGCAGATGCTAGACATTTGAAGGTACACATAGCTATGCATAGATACATTAGATATACAGTTAGAGACCCTTTATACATTAGATCTACAGTAAGAGACCCTTCAAATTGTGGGAAAGAAATAGGACTTTTAGCAAAGAGAATAGAATATATATTAAAGTGGAATTTACTAGAAACAAGTGTAAAACGGCGATTTTGTTGTACTGTTTCCATACAGAAGGTGTACTTCACATATTTGTGCTATATAACCTTTTGGGCCCTGGAACATCATTTTATAGAAAATCTAAAATCAATATTAAAAGAAAACAAAATTATGAAATAGGCTGGTTTCATAATTGACCAATGATCATTTCACATAGACTCTATGCCTTTCACTTTACAAACGATGATCTTCCGTTATAACTATAAATCAAATGATGTTTTTTATTCACCAAATTCATTTAACAAAGTTTATTTAAAAGCTTTAAAAAATTCGAAATTGAAATGGATAGTCTAGGGAACATACTGTATTAATGTACTCTACTGCATATAATTTGTGAACACTTACATGATTTGTACACTTTGAACTCCCTTTCAAACTGAAAGGTACTGACAAAATTCATACCAAGGTTTTCTGAACTCCACTCTAATAAATATTCTGTTCTCTTTGACTGTTAGACTCTAATCATGATTTCTAATTAGTCAAATAGACCTAAAACATTGCAATTGTCCAGTGTTCCCCATGCGTCAATAATCAGCAGGGTTTTGTTATGTGACAATAATGGTACGACTTTGCAACCTCGTAGCTCCTGTAGTTCTTATTCTAATCTAACGTCAAATTCACTCTATGAAGTTCAAATAAAGTTTTTCTTAAACTTTATTATTAATTTTTAGAAAAATAAACAGAAAGCTCTAAACATGTCAGTAAATTTATTGATAATTAAAATGTTCAAATTAAAATGTTAAAAACATTCATTTCAAAATTAATTACAATTTTAACTTTCAAATATTTACTTTTAAACAAATTTGAGTAATAAAATCAGATGTCATCTTATATTTGCCAAAATCATTCCTTTTTATAAAAATTTATTGCTAGGGTTTCCAACGCAAGTGGATTTTGTTTGCGCGCAATTGCAAGCCCTGTAATTGACCGCACAATTGCGCGGAATTCCGCGCAACGGAAATTTCTAATGGGTACCCTAGCTAGAAGAAACTCTGAAATTTGTTCATAATATCCAACCTACCGAAAAGATTTACTAGCTGAAAGGCCCGGCGTTGCCCGTGGAAAAGAAATTTGGAAAAAGTCGATTTTTTTAGCCTAAAACACCCGTGCATGAGTGTCCACAAAATAAATGTCAGCCCATACGGTCCAGCCGTTTGGCCTCCTATAGGCAACATATATATGTATGTCTTGTTTTATTATATAGAACTAGCTTAAGGGTCCGGCGTTGCCCGTGGAAATTTTTCTATTTGAAAAACAAAACAAAACAAAATTGAGAAAAAAAAATTCGAATTTATTTTTGGCCTTTAACTCCCCTCGGCCATCCATGAGTGTGCACAAAAAATTTCAGCCCAATCGTCCCACCGTGTGGGCGGCTATAGGCAACATATATTTGAATGTCTTGTTTTTTATATATAGATGAACATTTGATTTAAAATCAAAACTAGATGATCCGGTCCCAGTTTGTACTGTATCGCTCGGACATTGGGTAAATAAAGCAGATAAATAGGACTAGCCGGTGCAACAAGGTTGACGCGGTCAGACTTTAGGTTGAATTTACTTTTACTAAAGGGTTAGAGGTGCGTGTTCTGTAAAAATATCTAACAAAAATTATGTAATTTCAAAATGCTTTTGGTAGTATAATATGACAAACAAAAGAGAGGGGGGCGGGGGGGGGGGGTTGTCTCACTGTAAAGAATTTAGCTAAAAACAAGAGTATAGAGCAGTAAAATTAAAGCCAAAGGATTTGCGTAACTGTAAAGTCAACCCTCAGCTCTGTCTGGAAATATGATTCAACATTTCAGAGCAGGCTGAATTGGTGATTTTTAAATGACATTTTAATTTCTATTTAAGGCGTAACATCTCTTCTGACTCTATCTACTCAACATGCGAACAGTCAAAAATCTCTACCTCCTGTGTCCTATATAAAAGTAAGAAGAAGGGTACTGTAGCCCCAATTTATGTTTATGTTAGGGTAATATATATTTTTATGTTAAGCACACTGCTGAAAATGGACCATCAGGTTTCAAGTCAAAAGACCTAAAATTTTTCTTTGGATTATGTTGATATGCAGGCTACTGAGTTAAATTCTCAATTTTCAGAAAATGCCACCTAGGGAATTTTGAGCAGATCAATTTTTAAGAAATTGTCAAAATCAAGTGCATTCACAGGTCTTAAATTAAACGAAAAATTCCTTTCAAGACTTTAATCTGCTTCTTCTGGGTTTTTTGACGTTATTTTCTCAACAGTATATGACATGATCTCAAAATATTTTCATTTTTCTTTAACAGTCATGAAACTTATTGTAGCAAAAAATCAAACCCCTAAGTCATCTGCCTGACTGTCAAAATGCGGCCTGAAAAAGAGTTTTTATGTAATTTTTACTAATTTTACTTCAAAATTTTTTTTTCATGCAGTAATTGGGCAATTATACAGTTCACTTTAGGCTTTGATTTTTTTTGCTAAAACACGTCTGATGACTGTTAAGAAAAGTTTACAAAATTTGGGGACCCTGCAATCAACGGTTCTAAAAAAATAGAAAAAAACACAGAAGAATCTTGATTAATCTTTGAACCTACAATTACGAATGAGTTTAGACTTAAAAATGCACAATTTCTTTAAATTAAAATTCCCTAGGTGGCATTTACTGAAAATTTAGATTATAACTCAGAAGCCTGCATATTAATATATACCGATGAAAAAAATTAGGTGTTTTGATTTAAAACCTGATGGTTCATTTTCAGCAGTGTGTTAGGCTGCAATATATGTGTAATAAATATCGGGTTATACCATATTCCATAAAATTTGGCGTACGTTGTACATTATTAATAATCAATGTTTGTACATAAAACCCATTTATTCATTTGAACTGCGTTCCAAATGAATACTTAACATATTGGAAGAATCATGTGATATATAGGATATAAATCCTCAATTACGACTATTTCTGATTGTGCTGTAATACATACCATGATTTGCCTTAAATCATGTAATACAGATAACGGTGTAGGTATTGTAATTAAGTATATTAACTTTAACTTGTAACATATGGATTCGTAATAAAGTTATTTAGAATCAGAACTATACAGTGTAGAGTAATTTAGTTTCGTTGAAACATACGAATTTAGATCTTACCTTGTTGTAAGGTAAAGATCGATTAAGGGCTGGATAACTAGCCAATGCTTGTGTCCCTGGCGGGCATATAGACTTAGAGAAGGGCTGGATAAGTAGCCAATGCTTGTGTCCTTGTGTGGCATTTAGAGTTAGAGAAGGGCTGGATAAGTAGCCTATGCTTGTGTGCTTGTGTGGCATTTAGAGTTAGAGAAGGGCTGGATAAGTAGCCTATGCTTGTGTCCTTGTGTTGCATTTAGAGTTAGAGAAGGGCTGGATAAGTAGCCTATGCTTGTGTCCTTGTGTTGCATTTAGAGTTAGAGAATGGCTGGATAAGTAGCCTATGCAATTGTGTCCATGTGTGCCATTTAGAGCCTAATTGAAAGCTAGATTGATAAGCTACGCTCGTGTCCCTGTGTGGCATTTAGAGCCAGGTGGGTTGTGTCATGGCTGAATTGGATAGCGTACTGGTTGTGCCTGCAGACTGATACAGTTTGGATGACTTTTAAGAGTATGGCATTTACTACAGATGTATTTATGTTTAGGCAATAGATATGTTTTAGGTTAGGCAAAATATATGTTCATGTTTAGACAGAATATATGTTTATGTTTAGGGAATAGATATATTTATGTTTAGGGAATAGATATGTTTTAGGTTAGGCAAAATATATGTTCATGTTTAGACAGAATATATGTTTCTGTTTAGGGAATAGATATGTTTTAGGTTAGGCAAAATATATGTCATGTTTAGACAGAATATATGTTTATGTTTAGGGAATAGATATATTTATGTTTAGGCGATAAATGTTTATGTTTAGGCAATAGATTTGTTTATGTTTATTTTTAGGTAATAGATATTTTTATGTTTAGGCAATAGATATGTTTATGTCGGCCTGTACCCTCTTCGTGTTCCTCAGTCTTATAGAATATGCGTTTGTGAACGTTATGATGGGAGATATCAGGTTCGTTTATCTTCCATATTGCTAGAAAACTAGAAAAGAAATCGATTAGATTGTTAGAAATATATAAATAACATATGATTTTTAGACATATAGATCAGATCATTTGAAGTATATAAAAGAGCTTAAAAAACAAAGATTTATTGTTTGAAAAATAGATTAAATTGCTATAAGTAAATAAAAGATTGGAAAAATTATATATTAAAGTTTTATAAATATAAAATTGCTAAAATTTAAGAATATGATTTTCAAAACATAAGAAAACATACAAATACAGAGCAAAAATTTCTTAATTCATTTAATGTATGTAGTAGTTTAGAATTGTTAAAAGTTAAAATTTTGAATATTATATATTTTTCAACAAAACAAATTAACGAACAAATTAAAATTTTAAGGCCCTTTTGGCTTTTATGTGAATTCTGCATAGTTACAGATTTGAAAAAAATAGAAAATGAATAAAACTATTTTGAATAATATTATAATATATATTTCTTTTTCTTTTCTACATGCATGCTTACAGCACACTATTCTTTAAATACATTATATATAGAATTAGTATATTTAAGTATATATAATCCCTTTCTTCAGAAATAAGCACTGAACATAGCAAAGACAGAAACATATTGAATACAGAAACTACAAAGAATATAGAAAACTAGCTGAAGTGACCGTGGAATTTTTAAAACACTGGGGGAAAACCCGAACTTTGAAAGAAAAAAAATGTACCCATAAGTTTCCAAAAAAAATGCTAGCCAATTTTCTCTCAGAACGAAAGGTACAGAACGGTAGAAGGAAAAGTTTATTCATCTTCAGGTGTTTATACACTAGAAATACATAATAATTAGAAAAATACAGATAATGTTTAACTATTTACATATAAAAGTTTTAAGAAATTAGTATCAATTACATGCCAATGACGCTCTGGGGTACAACTAGATCCTTCAGTTAAACAGTCAACACTGACTGGTTTAAGGATACGTTTATATATCATGCAGTACGGTCAATGTTTGTAAACAAACCCGGACCAGAATAAACAGCAAATCAAGGAAAAAGGGGGCGTTCCATTTTCTTATATTAATTCAGTAAACCACAAAAGATCGCGATATAAAACTCGCGAAACAAAATCACGATTGAATTCAAATTAAATCCCACCTTTTGCTTTAAAAAATACATTTTAACAAAGTAGGCCAGAAATAAGATTTTCTTTCATTGGATGAATGTAGTTCAAAAGATTTACTAAGATTATATTTTCAATGACATAGATCCTAATTGCTTTTAAAAGTTATAAAGTTTATAGCTCAGAAATATGAAATACGGATTCATAATTCAGAAATATGAAATATGAATTTATAGCTCAGAAATATGAAATATGGATTTATAGCTCAGAAATATGAAATATGCGATGAGGGATTTATCTATTCAGAAATAATTGTATTCATCTATAGCAAGAAAACTATTTTTTGGTATTTCTAATGACAATGAATTCCAAAATTTTAAAGAAAAACTTCAGGATAATTATGAACATGGATTTGTCTGAAATCTGAAGAATTTGGTTTAGTAAATATCATTAAGCGATCCAGAAAGCAGTGTTCATTTTTTTATGTCTAAATTATCCCAATTTAAAACTATGCAAAGTGAACTAGACATAAGGAGAAGGTTGACTTTATGGATCATGACTGGTACGACAATGTGACCTCGTAGCTCCTTTATAGTTCTCAGATTTCTTTAATAAGAGGTGTTATGATTGAAAACATACTTCCTATGTTGTGGGACACCCTGCAGCTCCTTTATAGTTCTCAGATTTCTTTAATAAGAGGTGTTATGATTGAAAACATACTTCCTATGTTGTGGGACACACTGTAGCTCCTTTATAGTTCTCAGATTTCTTTAATGTGAGGTGTTATGATTGAAAACATGCTTCCTATGATGTGGGACACCCTGTAGCTCCTTTATAGTTCTCAGATTTTTTTAATAAGAGGTGTTATGATTGAAAACATGCTTCCTATGTTGTGGGACACCCTGTAGCTCCTTTATAGTTCTCAGATTTCTTTAATATGAGATGTTATGATTGAAAACATACTTCCTATGTTGTGGGACACACTGTAGCTCCTTTATAGTTCTCAGATTTCTTTAATATGAGATGTTATGATTGAAAACATACTTCCTATGATGTGGGACACCCTGTAGCTCCTTTATAGTTCTCAGATTTCTTTAATAAGAGGTGTTATGATTGAAAACATGCTTCCTATGATGTGGGACACACTGTAGCTCCTTTATAGTTCTCAGATTTCTTTAATA